GGGGAGGAGGGGGAAGTGAGCTGGGGGCGGGGCGGACAGCTGCAGCGCGGGGCCCTCTTGGCGCGGGGCCCAATTCAGCCGAATCGGCTGAATCGGCCTAAAGCCGGCCCTGCTGGGGGGTGTCTGGGGGCTGCTCCTGACCTCGCTCTTTCTCCCTGATCAGCTTGTGCCAGAATCCTGGGGGCATTTCCTGTCCATGCCCAGTCACTGTGATAACTTTCTATCCACTTATCAAACACTGTGAGGTGAAAGCACAGATTTTGCTTTTCTCCTCTCTTGAAAACTGCAGGAACTTCCGGTTCCATCAGGAAAATTCATGCCAGTCCTTGTCCTAGCTCTTGGGGGTAGGGGGTGGGAAGGGGGTTAGCACTGCCACACAATGGTCTCTTCCACAGCATTCTGGACTCATTCTTTCTGAAATCTGGTTTCACTGAGACCACTGTTAATCCAGTCACTGCATGGAAAGACAAGGAGTGACTCCAGATGGACAGTGGGGCAAATGAGATCAGCAGTTCTCCCTGTGAGGAGGGGCTCTCATTAGCTGCTCTCCCCAGAGAGCTGAAGGAGGTAAGCTGCTCAAACGCTCTGTCCTTCTCTGCTCAGGATATTGGGGTTCAGCTTCCTGGGTCAGACGCTGCAGCCTCCATTGTGATCTGGGAGACCAGGCTTAGCAGCTGTTGCTCCCACAGCAGGGTTCTGTGCTGGGATGTGACCTTTTAACTAAAGCTTCTTCTCTGCCCGGCCCAGGTGATGACTTTCTCCAGCTGGTACTAGCCCTCTGGGGCAGCCCTGGGCCCTGTTAATACTAAATTCTGAGCCAGAGACTCCAGGTAACTAAAAGAAATGAAGGGAAAATGCTGGGGTGTGGCATTAAAATGATTCTACACAAACATCCTCCCCTCCCCCACCCCCAGTAATTTCTCCTCCCATTAGCAATTTCAGGAGTAAATCCAGCCATGGGGAGCAAACAACCCAGGAATGGGACTTTCCTACCAGATGGGCAGGGAAAGGGGACAGGGAAAAGGAGATTGAAGGAGAAAGAGAGACTGAAAGTGGCCGTGAGAGAGAAGAATTTTGAGAGAGATTTCCAGATCTCTAACCTGCCCAGACAGATGTATTACTGCACCCTGGGTAGAGTCACTTTCCTGTGGACAAGATGAGGATCAGACCGAGTTAAACCCAGTTCCTGATTCCATATCCCTCCTGCTGGGGTGTGGCTCCCATAAGATCAGCATCCGAGGGAATTATCGAAAGTGACTCCTTTGGTTCTGCTTTTTTCTAGCCTTGTGTTCAGAGACTTTGTTACGGGATGAGGGGAGGGAGAGGGAGAAGGAGAAGGGAGGTTAAAAATCTCTCTGTGGGTTTAGCCTGGCAGTAGGGCCAGGTCTACACTGTAATAAAGAGATTGAACATTTTCCCAGCATGGTAGAATCTAGGATATCTGTCTGCAGAGAAAGAGCCTGGGGGAATAGTGATGTGAAATTAACTAAAGCCTGTTCTGAAACCTCCACAACTGCCCTTCTCAACCAGACAGGCTGGAGAATGATGTCCATGTTTCGCTCCAGCTCATCCCATCTTCCCATGGGATAGGGAAGAGAAATTGCTGCAGTGGAGCCAGTTCAGGTAGGGATTATTGAGGGGGTTCCTGGTGGGCTCCTGTAGGAGGGAGAGGGACAGGGACAGCAAATACACCGGAGATGGGAAGGTTTGCACGGTCTGGTCTGGAGGTTGGAGCGGGGCAGGAAATGCACAGGGTGGAGAAAGGGAGGAGGACAGGGTATGGCAAACCTGCTGGGAGTTGTTTAATAAGTGGCCTAGATTCTAGGAACAGACCCATGAGGTTCGGAGGTGGACATGCCCTAATTTGTGAAACAGAAAATAACCCACCTACATGGGGCTAGGAAAACTGACCAGACTCATAGTTCTGGAGCCCAATCCAACTAATCAGCTGCTCTGAGATATGAAGGAGGCACCCACCAGTGAGGCTTAGGGGAGATTCCCCTCCCTTCATATCCAGTACCTCACAATGAGGAGGGTGTTTGGCTCCCTAACAGGGAGCTCTCCGTGGACCCTGCTAGAGGCTCCATCTCCTGTATTAATCTGTGGCTAGTAGGTGTGTGATGGATCTGCTGGGAGAGACAAGGGGCTCTCTCTTCATCCCCTCACTCTGGTGTTTCCTGGATTCTCTGAGCTGGGTGGGGGTGGGACTCTGTTGACTGCGATCCATCCAGAGCTTCCATTTGATTGGCTCTTCTCCCCCATGAATAGTGGGGCAGCAGGTACTGAATGTGGGACTCTTGATCTTTCAGAGGCCGGTGACCTTCGAGGAGGTGGCTGTATAGAAGAGTGGGCTCTGCTGGACCCCACTCAGAGAGCCCTCTACAGAAAAGTCATGCAGAAGAACTATGAGAATGTGACCTCGCTGGGTAAGGATTTCTGTGCCTATGGTTATTAGAAGGGGAAAAGAAGAGAAAAGGTTCACGCCAGCCCCACAATGCCATCTCTACTCTGCCCTGTTTCTGCATCACCCCAACATGCCACTGACACATACAATACCACTCTACCCTTTTCTCCTACAGAACATTGACCCTGCCAGCAGGTAGGGGACCTTGCGGGACAACTACTGCATTGGTGGGGTGCAAAATAAACTTTATTAAGAAAATGCAAAAACAGGGAAAATTCACTAGTGTGGGGTACGGGGTTTGTTAAGGTAGACAATTGGGGAGGGGTTTCTTTTAGTAAATAGGATAGTGGGGTCCAATACAGTTGGTAACCAATTAACACTGAAGTATAAATGTAACAGGTAGCTAACAGTTCCTATGTAAAAGGTGTGTCACCGCAGCATATAACCAACAGTTATGGGTAAAATGTGTTAAATAACCAACAACTCTAGGTAAAAATATGTCACAGTGGTGTAAATGTAAAATGTGAGGTGTGTTAGAGAGAAAAAGGGTAACCAATGGGTTTTATGCTAGACTTCAGTAATACAATTGAGGTTTGGCAGCAGCAGAAGCGGGGTGAGCACGTGGGGGAAGGGATTAAAAGAGAGAGAGAGAAAGGCAGTGGTAGAGGAGTGAGGTTGGGGGATGGGAGAAGAGGAGCATGTGGTGGAGTAGAAACCAAAGGCAGAGGCGCTGCGGAGGGAGATTTAAACTCAGGGAGACACAGAGAGCAGACAGGCTGCAAGTTTAAACAGCAGAGAGACTGCAACAAATGACTGGCAAGCGTCGGGGGGGAGGGGGGGGTTGTGGGAAGACAGACTTAACCACAATTATACAGAACACAGTAAAATCTTATCTATGATCTAACTTAACCAAGACTACACAAATTAGCAAGTAACAGAACACAATGCAACAATTTTTTTAAACCTAACTTAACCACAGCTATGCAAAATGAAATTACAACTTATCTAGACTAAGAACCTGATTCTAATAGGTGCACCTTACACTATGCCACTTCTTTGATCGGGAGGGGGAGCAGTTCCGGAGGGCAGAGTGGTGTGTGCCCAGGGTACAGCCCTGCGGGGTGGGGGGGTTAACTAGTGGTGGCTGCAGCAGTGGGGTGGCTGCAAGCTGGCAGCCCAGGATACTTGACTTTATTCCTTGACTTTGGACTTTAGCAAAGCTTTTGATACGGTCTCCCACAGTATTCTTGCCGCCAAATTAAAGACGTATGAGCTGGATGGATGGACTGTAAGG